TTATTAACTCCATCTTTTTTTGTGATGCTGGACAATCTGCTTTCAATAACATATTGCTCAAGCCATCCTTTAGTAATATTTCATCAGTGAAACTTCAATCTTCCAGAGTTCTGTGGCTGAGCTATGCAACACCTAGGTCATACCACGCTACATTTTTGTCCTCATAATGAAGTCAGCGCCAATGTGAAACAGGAGAAGTGAGAGTGTGGCTTTGACACCACTCTGCCCTCCCTCTCAGCGGATCAAAAAGTTCTCTGAAGGGCAAATTCAAAGCATCCTCGGCTTTTGAAACTCTTAATAGCCTTTGCTCAACCTTGGGAGTTTAGTTCTGTACAAGTCACAACTGCAGTAAAAGAGAGCGCCAAAAAGCTGCATGCTTTTGTGAGTCAGCAAAACATCCCACCTTTTAACATGCTATACCAACACTTGAACAGGTGTAAGAGAAATGATCTCTAGTTGGATGCGTAAGCCTGCACGAAGAGACCAGAAGGCAGCTCTTACGGGCTGCATTCCCATAGCTTCCAGTGACTCACATTGCCTGGCACTACCATTTGTTAAAGCAAGAGTGAAGCAGGGATAATAGCTATTTACTAAAAACAGAGGAGTGTGATTAGCTTTAATTAGCATTGTCAAGTGACTTGAGATTGTCAGGTACAAGATGTGGGAGAACTAAGTCTCATTAATTATGTCATTTCCTGCAGCCTTAAGTGGCTTGGCCAGTCCAGTGACGCTTCCCGAGACGAAGCTGCTCCTGACGTCTGATACATCCCGTATCAGTGGGTGAAAACTCTCTCAGACAGGCCTGGCAGACGCGGCTATCAAGTAGAGGGTCGCAAAGCCAGAATGCAAGAATAATCAGCTTATGTACTGCAAGACAACCACCTGCCCTGACAAACGAGGAACAAAAAGGCAAGTAAGACACGGCAGAAAACAGACTCAAAGAGAGAACCGACTGCCAAACTTCGTGCAGCATGAAGAGCAGGGACGGATGGGGGCAACAGGCCGTGTCATTCAGAACCAGGAGCCAGCCCTCCTGAGCAGCACCCACCCAGAAAACCGTATTTTCTTCCCCCCAAAGACGACAAACTATAAAATGCCTTTGTTTTGGGAAAAAAAGAGATCCAGATCCACAATTGGCATCACACCACCAACAGACATGCTGATTTACCAGCTAAAGATCTGCTCTAAAGAACTGAAAAATCCTTGAGTCAGAATAGTCCATCTCTTCTATGGACTCATCCTGGCTTCTGGAAAGAAGAGGAAACCTATCATTAGCCTTTAGTTACTGTGATTAGATCTAAAAGACCTCTGAATTAACAAGCACAGGAAAGAAGGAACATCCTGAAGGCCCAACTTACAGGTCTCTGTCAAGGAGGGGGAAAAAAAGGAAGCTGTGTGTTTTGCCACTGTTTCAAAGCGATAAATACACTCTGCTGCACCATTCTGCCTTGAACGTCACTGATGAGCTTCAAAGCAGCTAAGAGAACTGAACTCTCAATTTCTCCTTTCCAGACTCCATTTTATGATCCCTCTTGAAGCCCACTGCTCTAGCACTTCATAGTTGACCTCTAATGAAGACTCCGCTTAAGTTCAAGCAAACAAAGGTTTACCAGTTAATGACTGAAGCCCAATGAAAGCCTAGCTTTATTGGCATGATGCAAGAACAACAAATAAATGCTTTTTACTCCTCTGCAATCCTTGCAATGCTGTGTAGTACCACGCTAGATCAAGGAGCTCCCACTTTCTAAACTGCTAGCCAGGACCTACGCCAGAGTGACCAGTTCCTTAATTAAAT